ACCGCCATTGTTGGATCGATTGCATTTCAATTTCAGACCTGTTTCTCTTTCAACTTCAGCAACGAAGTGCTTGAACACCTCCAAAACCTGATCCTTTGTCTTCAAGGCATAGGCCCACAGTTTTCTGGAATGATCATCCATGAAAGTAACAAAATAAAGAGCTCCTCAAAGTGTCCTATCACCCATAGAACACAGATCGGTATGAACCAAATCCAAAACATTCGATTTCTTTGTGGTAGGACTTCTTTTGAAAGAAATTCTATGTTGCTTACCTGCCAAACAATGAGTACATGATGTCAGAGATGTACCGTCACTTGGCACACAATCTTTTCTAGCCAAAATTTGAAGCCCTTTTTCACTCATGTGACCCAACCGCAAATGCCACAAATCGGTTGAGTTGCCTTCAACCGCATTTACTGCACCATATAATTTGACCCGCATTGTATAAAACGAGCTTGTCTTTTCACTCCGAGTAACAACAAGAGAGCCTTTGGTCAATTTCCACTTACCTTCAGCAAAGTGGCTACGGTACCCTTCATCATCAAGAGCACCAACAGAAATCAGATGAAGCCTCATATCCGGCACATGTCGAACATTCTTGAGAAGTAACTTGTACCCCACACTAGTCTCCACACACACATCTCCAATACCAGAGATCTTGTATTCCCTATCATTCCCCATTCTTACCTTGCCAATGTCACCTTGCATGTAAGAAGTGAACAAATCACGCCGAGAAGTGACATGAAATGAGGCTGCTGAATCGATCACCCAAGTGGAGTATTGACTTGTGTAGTTAACAAAACTGTCATCACAAGTAATGAACACTTCACCATCACACACAACTGTTGCGGTGTTTTCCTTCTCATTTTCATCTCTAGGTCTAGACTGGTCTCTTTTACCCTTTTCTTTCAACTTTCTACACTTGGATTTTTATGTGGCCCAGCTTGCGGCAATAGTAGCAAACAATGCCCTTACGAGACTTTGATCTACCTTTTGACTTGTCATTATGGTCATGACCGTGAGAGTTTCTACGTGAACTCCTTCCACGGTTCTCGATAACAAGAGCTGCTGACTCATTTGTAATGCCTAACTCTTTGCACCTCAACTCCTCATTTTGCATACTGCCTTTACCATGGCAAGAGTGACAGGACCGTTAGGTGCCGAATTACTCAATGACACCACAAGAGTCTCCCAACTATCCGTTAAGGAACTCAAAAGGATCAAGGCTTGTAATTCTTCTTCCAAAGTCAATTTCATAGTTGACAGCCTGTTTACACAATCCTGAAACCTACTCAAATGCTCACTCACAGATGAGCCCTCTTGATAATTCATGTTCACAAGTTTTCGAATGAGAAAGGCTTTGTTTTGGGCTGTTTTGCGCTCATACATACTTTCAAGTTTCTCCCACAATTTCTTGGCATCGGTCTCAGTTGAAACATGATGAAATACCGAATCATCAATCCACAGTCTAATCAAGGCAACGGTCTTGTGATTGGATGTGGTCCAAACTGCATCAGTGGTTGTGTCTGGTTTCACACCGGTTACTGGTTCATAGGCATCTTTACAAAACAACATATCCTTCATTCTAGACTTCCAGATAGAGTAGTTTGTGGATGTTAATTTAATCATGGTACCACTACTACTGCCCTCCTCCATTTTAAAAATTTACCTCAAATTGCAGCGGAGCAAAAGAAAGAGCGACCTTTGTTCTTGAACTGTCGATCATATTTGACGGTAGTGTAGATTGGCTCTGATAACACTTGTTGGGTTAAAGAGGTAAACACAAACTAGATTGTACCATAGGAATTCTTCTAAGAGTGATTTCTTCAAACACCTTGTGTGCATACACCAAATCACAGATAAATGGAGAAACAAAGGAATCACACAAGACACCATGCCATGAGCAAGCAAGCACAAGAAATAAGAGAAGACACAGGATTTTACGTGGAAACCCTTTCGGGAGAAAACCACGGGAGCACTCGGCACAAATCCACTAGATCAAAAAGAAGTCATACAAGTACAAGAGATTGGAACTCACAATAGCACTCTCTCTCTCTCACACTCTCTTACAAGCTTCAAGAAGAAGAGAGCAAAAAACCTTAGAAGGCTTGGTGAAGAGGCAACTTGGAGAAGAAACAATCCAGAGAGACTCCCAGCATAGAAAAGTGTGGTTGACCCTCACATAACAAAAAAAAACCTTTGCCTCCGTATTCCATACAGAGGTAATATGGGTGAGCTGCTAAATGGGCCGGGCCCAATATTGTCTTCAACAATAACAGTTTTGTAGTAGGATATGTTTTGTCAATCTTATTTCGGTTTCTTCATTTCTGTTTTTTGGATGACATGTTAATATCTTCTAACACCGAAACTTGTTCAAGTACCCCCTCATCCAACAGAAAATCATTTAAAGCTTAATATTCCTTCGAGCTTCAGATTAATGCCCTCCACAAGATTATTTATCCTCTCCTTGATCGCAACCCAACTAAAACTTGTTCAGTCCCATCAACCAGGGCAATTATGATGACCTTGCATGGACTACTAACAACGAAAACACACTAGTTGCTTCATATGATATGGGTACGAAAAACTATCTAAAATTGTTCTAAGTTAAATTTGAGAAAATACACATAAAATCCTGAGCTAAAGAGCAAATGAGATATAAAACCAGAATCACACATATTCCAAACTAACTGTATATATAGTTTCAGTACACTCTGGCTGAGCTGGTAACCTGGCCTAGTTCACAAAAAAATGTATGCATGAATTACCTGGAACTTGCATGCAGAAATGTCAGTATAACACCAAGCTGAGCTGTGTTGTATTTGTTTGAACAATCTAACTACTACCTTAAAAATCTACATCTTAGTTCCAGGTGCTTAATGCTGATTAGCATAATATAGAAACTACAGGTCTCAAGTATGTTGGCCTTCTTGTTTTGATGATGTTTAACAAATAATTTACTTCTAATGTTGTTTGTCTAGTGTTTGTATTTTCGTATTTATTCTAGGCAAACAACGAGTTGGAGGATGGATGGAATCGAGCTTTCACGATCATATCCAATGGAGGTTGGCGGAATTGTGGAGTGAAGCATTGCAATTCAAGTTGAAGATCCAAGTTCAAGCTTCTTCCGCATAGTGTACCAAGTTGAGCTACAATGAAGATCAATATCAAGCTTGGGTAACATTAGTTTAGGTTTATATTATGTGTGTTAGTACCTTAAGCTCAATTATATACACACATAAACGTTTTGGTTTTTGTATATATATAGTTATATATATACATAAATGTTTTGGTTTAATATTATTCGAGTTTTAATATGAAACAATTGAATACAATTGAAAATACATTTCTTGTTTCATAATTATATGCATATATATGATTTCATCAATATTAATTTTATTTAGTTTAAGAAAATCATATTTATTGTTTTTTTTAAAGTTTGCAAAATATGTAATTTTGTGAAAATATTATATTCTCAGCTTTTAGACTTAACAATAATCATATACATCTTTTATTAAGTCTATAAAATCTTTTTGTAATGTTTCAAAATATGGTTAAGCTAAAATGTCAAAACTATTGTGTTTATATTTTCATATTTTGGACTATTTTACAAAATGATGATTTTTCACAAATGGAAAATGCAATTTGGAAAATTCTTTTTATAACATGTTCATTTACATGTTTAAATAGATTTCCTAAAGTTTCATTATTTTTGGACTTTATTTGTTATTTTTAACATATTTTCAAAAGTCTCAAAATCTATTTCAAAACTATCATTTCATATATCAGTTTGCGGTCGAACGCCATGGTCGACCGTGCCTGTGTCTTTTGCTGAGTGGGCTGCAAAAACATTCGTGGTCGACCGCTACGGTCGACCGCCACGGTCGACCGCGTAAGTCTCTGGAAGTTTTCTGGGTTTCTTAGCTGGCTCACGGTCGACCGCGAGTTTTTCATGGTCGACCGCCGTTCACTCCAACGACTATTTTTGTACAGAATCAGATTTCTGATTCTTGGGATTTTTGGTCTTTTCCTTTGGGGTTTTGGCTGAGATTTTGGGAGGCTATAAATACCCCCCTTGCTCTCATCCTTTATAGTAATCCAAGAGATTTAACAAAGTTTTAATCAAGGGTTTAAGTTTGTTTAAAGTGTATTTAAAAGCTTTTAAGCATTTGAGTGTTTTGGTTTTGTGAATCAATTCCACAAGAGCTTGAGGAGATCATCTATTTGGTGTTTGAGCGTCCAACTCTTCTTCTTCCACTCTTGATCTATTGAGAAGTTTTCTAAACTCAATCTAGCTTTATATTTTATATTGTTTGATTGTCATTTTATTAAGCTAGTGTTCATATTGACTTTAGTTGATTTTATTTTCTCTTTGTTTACACATACACAACCATTGAGCTTATTGTATTTACATTCATAGTATAATTGGGTTGTGGGATTGTGTAACTTAGAGAGTGAGCTTATAATTCGTTCTCACCCATTGTAGAGAACAAACACTTTGTATTGTGCTTTATTGTGAGATCACTTTGTAATACACTTATACACCGAGAGAAGTATGTGACGAGAGTCGAGGATCGTCCCAAGAGGAGTGGTGTCGGTTGAAGAACCTAGGGAGAGGTTGTATCCGAGCACTTGAGGGAGACACATCTAGTTCAACACTTGAGAGGGTGTAGAGTGGGATTACAAGAGTGTGTTAGTTGTAGAGTTTTCGGTAATCTAGAAAACCATATTGTGAGGTGTAAATATTGTTCGGGTAAACGTAGAAAACCCGGTTGTGATAGTGGAGATCTTCTCGAGGTGAGGAGCGGAGACGTAGGTCGTTAGGACCGAACTCCCTAATCATATCGTTTGTTTGTGATTGCATTGGCGCACTTATTTTTATGTTCATATATTATATCTCCTTTGTATATTGCTTATTGATTATATTACCCACTATCTAGTTTAGATTATTTACCCTTGTATTAATTACATATCCTTGCATATATCTCATAGTATATTGGTCACTCAGAGGAAGGGTCCCCTTTCTGATTAAAGTTATTCATATAATTAACATGTTCAGATAATGGTGCATCAGAGGAAGGGGAGTTTCCAATTTGACATTCCACAGCAGGATGTCCATTAATACCACATATTTCACAGTTAGTAGTAGAGTTAGATGCTACTGAATTCATGCTCATCTTATCAAATTTTTGAAATAAAGCATCTACTCTAGAAGCAATATGGTCTAATGCATCTACATCATACCTCCCGCTCTTTTTGGGTAAAGAGCGCTCACCTGACCATTGGAAATGGTTCTGCGCCATATCCTCTATGAGTTGTTTTGCATCTCGTACACTTTTGTTCATCAATGCACCACCCGCTGCAGCATCCACGGTCATCCTTGTGTTGTAGAGAAGACCGTTGTAGAAAGTGTGAATTATGAGCCAATCCTCTAACCCGTGATGTGGACACATCCTTAGAAGATCCTTGTACCTCTCCCATGCATCATACAATGACTCCCCTTCTTTTTGAGTGAAAGTTGTTATCTGATTCCTCAACTGGGCTGTTTTGCTTGGAGGAAAGTATTTAGTAAGGAATGCTTCTGAGAGTTGGTCCCAAGTAGTGATGGAGCCTGGTGGAAGTGATTGTAGCCAAGCCAATCCTTGTACCTCTCCCATGCATCATACAATGACTCCCCTTCTTTTTGAGTGAAGGTTGTTATCTGATTTCTCAGTTGGGCTGTTTTGCTCGGAGGGAAGTACTTAGCAAGGAACGCTTCTGAGAGTTGGTCCCATGTAGTAATGGAGCCCGGTGGAAGTGATTGCAGCCAAGCCCTTGCCTTGTCTCTTAGTGAGAAGGGAAACAACCTTAGCTTGATTGCATCATCCGACACTCCATTCATCTTCAATGTGTCACAATACTCCAGAAAGATTGAGCTATGGGTGGTTGGTGATGCAAACTCCTTCAAGGATCGGTCTTGATTGCCTTGGTTTTCTTGGTCTCCCATGGTGTTTTTGCTTTTCAAATTATCCTTTGTTTCTCGTGCCTTCTTCCTAATATGACGCAAGGTCCTTTCAATCTCGGGATCACACTCGATTGGTTCTCCAAGTCGTAAGGATCTGGGCATACAAGGGTGCCTGCACCACAAGAAAACAAAGGAACAAGTCAAACGTAAAAATAAAAATAAAACAAATGAAAGAAAAAGTCTAGTCTAGTCAAACAATGAAAAAGTTAATATTAACAATGCCGAAGTCCCCGAAAACAGTGCCAAAAACTTGTTCACTCATATCCGCAAGTGCACAGATATCGTTGTAGCGATGTAAGGTTGTATCCTCAGAGACTTCGTTGTTAATTACTGATTTTCACTGTTTTGTAACTATCTAAACCAATCGTGTTAAAAAGTATGATTTTTGATTATCAATAACGAACACGCTAGCTAGTATCAACAACGAATTCACTCAAATAAAAGGATCTAGGATTGAACTTCGGTTTCAACTCTGGTTCGAATCAATAAATTAATCAATTGTTATCGAATCTCTCAATGCATTAAGAACGACTAACCTATGATAACTATTAGTCTCTTTCGACGACTAAAAGTCGTGCTTAATTCAGCCTAACAACCTATTTTCATAGTGTTAAACCAAATTAAACCCATTAAGTTCTTGTTAATCCCTCATGTTCTCAAGGAATAATTAACCTACTTTCGTGATCAATTAATTCTTGTTCAATTACTATTTTCCGGCGTCAATCTAACCTTTCAGTTCAAATCAACATCCTAAAAGAATTAAATCAGTGGCCAATTGAATTAACCCTAGGCAATTAGATACTAGTAACTGAATAATGCAAATCGAACAATCAATAACAACAACAATCAGTTCATTAATTCATAACCACAGCCGAACCTTGTTCAATCCCAGATAAGACAATTACTCACACATAATTGAAATAGAAAACATGATAACAATATATAAGATCATAATCATAAACTAGAAATTGAAATAGATCAGAAAGATAAACCGTAGTGTCGAAGTTGCACACAATTCTCCACAAACAGCAGGTTCCAAATCAAAAGAAAACTAATCTAAGAGTTTTTAGAGAGAAGAAGAGAAGAAGAAGAAAGAAAAATCCAGATCTCTAGCTTCCAGGTCCTCCCTGATGCTTCAGGACGTCTCCTTTTTATCCTCTTGCAAAGACGTGTTGAAAGATAAGTTCAAATAATGCTCCAGATCGCAAGATAACTGACTGCTGTCATCCAACACGGCTGTGCAGATCGACATGACCAGGCCGTGTTTAATTCTGTTTCACTCTGCTTTCTGGGCTTATCTTCTATAACCAACACGCCTGTGTTGTTTAACACTGGGTGAACGTGTAGCCACTTTTCATGCATTCCTTGACTCCTTCTTGACTCCGAATCCGTGCTAAGCTCCAGTAATTCCTACACAATATATAAATAGAGCAGTAAACAAGAACTAGGGAGCTTAACAGGGCAAAAGTGCAAGGAAATACATCAAATAACAATGAATCTGTAGGTGAAACATAGTCAAAATATAGATAATAGTCATGTTTATCAACTCCCCCATGCTTGAACTATTGCTTGTCCTCAAGCAAAACAGATGGAAACACACACATGAGAGGGTACAGATTCAAAGAAAATAGAAATTAAGCACAAAGGTATCCACTATTCTCAAGTTCACATGCAACATTATTCCACACAACCCCATGTCAAAACAGAAATCATGTCTCAAGTTCAAAGTTGAAGAAAATGTATCTGTAATCGTTCACGTACGTTAGTGCAAGTGACTCAACTCATAAACATTGGAAAAAGAAATGGCATGACAAAGTTAATTTTTTTTTTTGATTACCCAAAACTCCCCGTGACAGACACATATCTCATCACAATGGGTCATACTCTTCCTACTTAAGGTCTCAAAGGAGCACTCGGTTTCCTTGCATTTTATTCAAAATTTTTTTGAAAATCCCGTCATAATTAACACCTACTGACGTGACAGCCATACTTCTGAGGGTGCGGTGCCAGGTACTCGGTGCAACAGACTTTAGGACTTTTTTTTACAAGGCCGAGTGTTTCTCCAGTAACCAAAAAGTATTCCAAGTCACCAAAGAAGCTTAGGTTTTAATTAGATGAGTTGAGCCAAAATCCATTCCTATCTCTCCAATGTTTAGAGTTAAGTGTCGACCAAGTGGAACTCGAACAGATAACATCCTAACCAACTGAACATGAAACAAAGCCTTTTTTTTTATACAATGGGGCATGTGAACTAAATGATGCACGTGTTAGAAGAGTTTTCAAACAGTGGTACTATTTTTCTTTTCTTCTTTTTTTTTATAACTAAATGAAAAATCCCAACACAGAAAACAAGCACACAAAAACACAGTGAAAAACACACCAAAGCATACATAAAAGACATGAAATACCAACGCACTCCCCCATGCTTGAATTGCACATTGTCCTCAATGTGTTTGAGTAATTGAAAGGGGGATAAGAGGGACTCACCGCTCATTGAGGTGGCGGTGGAGGTGCATAATCATGAGGTAGAGAAAAGTGGTGCAAATCTTGTATCAACTGGTTCATCGTCCCTAGTGTAGTGCCAAAACCATCCAGACGCGCGTTAATGGCATGGAATTCTGTGCCCATATCTTGTTGTAATGAGTGGATGGAGTCTTTCAAGTGTTGTTGCCCTCTCTCCAACATGTTGAACCTGTTGGTCCAATTGAGGGACGCACTAGACGTTGATGCATCGTGGGGCGAAATGTATGGAGCCGGTTGATGTAGGGGTACCTGAGGAGGTGGTTCGTAAGGCAAGTCACCTTCAGGTGGCTGCCAATTTTCCTGGCTTTCAGTGTTAGTAAGATCATGATTAGGGAGTGGGAAAATAGGGCCTTGAAAGAAAGTTAACCAATATTCGTCTTCAACTTTAGTTATAAGACCAAAAGTTGTGCAATATGGAAGATCCAATCGGGATATTGGTTTCTCAATTGGTAGGTGAGTGAATGATAAATTCATACGTTCTGCGAGGATTGTGATCATCCCTCCAACAACAATGTCACCTACACTAGATTTCCCGATTTTTTCTAATTGTTTGGCTAAAAAGTATCCCACATCAACCACCATCCTATTGACAAGACAGTATAACAAGAAGACTTCGGTATCCCTAAAAACACTGACGCTCTCTCCCCTACCAAAGATGGTGTTTGCCATGAGCCGCTGTAGATAGCGGAAAACAGGGTTATAAATTTGGGAAGCCTTGTTTTTAGAAGGTTCATAAGGTCGAACATTTGCCCTACCCTCTCTCTCACAGGTTATTGCTCTCCAAAAGGTGGCTGGATCCCATTCTCTCGGTGGTTTTCTGAGTCCCTGTTCAGGTAGGCTAAGGAGACGGTTAAATTTAGCCATACTGATCACATAGCATTTGTTAAAGAATCGAAAAATCAGTCGACCACCTGCGACGCTATCATTAGCATCAACAACTAAAGAACTTAAGAACTCAAGGGTAAGTCTCCTGTATGTAGGCCGATGCAAAGTCACAAATTCTCCCCAACCAATGCCATTGAACAAATTATAGATGTTTTCTTTCAGTCCTAATTGTAACAATGCATCATTATCAATGAATTTTGTCGATGTCATGCGCCTAGAGACCAAATTATTAAACCGTACCTCTTGATTAAGATCAGGGTCAAAGATAATACCATCAGGGTTATTGGAAGGAGGCGAAGGGTTACCCCTTGTAGACCGGTGTTGCAATGCTGTTCGTGAGTTGGAGGTTGTTGCGTCATTGCTTTTTCTGCGTTTTGGAGCCATGGGGCTGAATGGAAGATCGTTGGAGTTATTGGACGGCGCTTCTCTCGTCGGAACTTCAGACGTGTTGGCTTTGTGTTAGAAACATTTCTGGCCTTGGGGCGCTTCTCTCGTCGGAACTTCAGACGTGTTGGCTTTGTGTTAGAAACATTTCTGGCCTTGGGTTAGATAAGAGGCGGAAAGGATGACTAGAATGGGAGAAAGTCAGAGGGAGGATGAGTGGGGGAAGTATGGGAGATCAATGGGGAAGTCTGTGAATGGCCGGCTTTGGGTAAGTTGATGGGTTGTCAGGAGTTGATGTGCTGGGATTGATTGGCTTTTTGGGAGGTGGGTGGTGTAATTGGGATTGATTGGGTGGTTTGGAGGTGATGAAGTTAATTGGAATGTCAGATTTTTGTTGGGTTTGGTCAAAGAAATCAATGAGCGGTCACTTTGGGCGAAAAAGAAAACTGTCCTGGGTGATGTTGGGTTAGATGGATTTGGGAGGTGGGGTCAAAGAAGATGGAAGGAGGGTGGGGTCAAAGAAGTCTGGATTTCATATTTTTTTTTCTTTTCTTTATTTTTTTTTTTCGGCCACGGGTGTGGTGGACGTCTTCTCAGGGTGTGGTAGACTCTGGAAATGAGGTGAAGACTGTCCCGACTGCTACACGGGTGTGTTGGTGGACACGGGCTAGCCGTGTCAACTGTGTTATCAATATATTTCCTTCTGTCCTCTTTCGCCTTGAACTCTCTGTTACCTATTTTTCTTCTGTCATTCACGTACACACCAGTTCACTGAAACCTGATTACATGTCATGAAAACTAATAATTAAAACACTAAAAAGAAAAATAAAATGAAAGAGAAACTTGGGTTGCCTCCCAAGAAGCGCTTGTTTATGGTCATGAGCTCGACCCCTTCAATGATCACAATGATGATGAATCGAGAAGGGTAAGAGTACCCAACTTCTCGATCAGAGTTCCTGCGAAATAATGCTTTAATCGCTGCCCATTGACTTTGAAGGTTCCCGTGGCTTCACTCCATACTTCGACAGCCCCAAATGGGTATACTTTACGCACTTGGAATGGTCCAGACCACCTCGAACGAAGTTTTCCGGGAAAAAGCTTGAGTCGAGAGTTAAACAAAAGTACCAGGTCTCCTTCTGTAAATTCTTTACGAAGGATGTGTTGATCATGCCACTTCTTTGTTCTTTCTTTGTAAATCTTGGCATTCTCATATGCATCCAACCTCAATTCGAAGCTTTCTCTGTTCCCCTGCTTCTTTCAAATCTAAATGAATGTTCTTGATAGCCCAATGTGCCTTATGTTCCACTTCAACTGGTACATGACATGATTTCCCATAGACCAACCTGAATGGCGCCATACCTATAGGAGTCTTATAAGCTGTCCGATATGCCCAAAGAACATCATCTAGCTTCATAGACCAATCTTTTCTTGAACGAGACACTGTCTTCTCCAAGATTCCTTTGATTTCTCGATTAGTGATCTCCACCTGACCACTTGTTTGAGGATGATATGGTGTAGTCATTTTGTGAGTTACTCCGTACTTCCTTAGAAGCGTACTTAGGACCCTGTTTGCAAAGTGAGATCCTCCATCACTGATTACAGCTCTTGGGACACCAAACCGGGGGAAAATGACCTTTTGAAATAATTTGACCACCACTTTCACATCATTTGTTGGGGATGATAAAGCTTCAGCCCATTTTGACACGTAATCCACTGCTACTAATATATATTTGTTGTTGCGTGATGGTGGAAAAGGTCCCATAAAGTCAACCCCCCACACGTCGAAGAGTTCGACTTCAAAAATGTTATTTAGTGGCATCTCATTCCTCCGTGAGATATTTCCTGTCCGTTGGCAACGATCACAACTAATCGTGAAACGTCTCACATCCTTGAAAAGTGAAGGCCAATAGAACCCAGATTGCAAAATTTTAGCAGCGGTCTTGGTGGTGCTTGCATGACCTCCGTATGGTGAAGAATGACAGTGGGATATGACATCCAATACCTCCTCTTCAGGCAGGCATCTTCTGAATACTTCATCTGCACAGCGCTTATAAAGACAAGGTTCATCCCAATAATAATGCTTGACATCTGATAGGAACTTCTTGCGTTGTTGATAGGATAATTCAGGTGGTAATACCCCACACGAAATATAGTTTACAAAATCAGCGAACCAAGGGGCTTGAAGACTTGTAACAGCAAACAGGTTGTCATCTGGGAATGAATCATCCAATGGCTCCCTTTCACCTTCTCCTTGATCCATTTCTTGCCTGAGCCTAGAGAGATGATCAGCCACCACATTGTCAGTTCCTTTTTTGTCTTTTATCTCGAGATCAAACTCCTGTAATAAGAGAATCCACCTTAGCAGTCGTGGTTTTGCATCCTTTTTAGCCAAGAGGTACTTCAAAGCGGCGTGATCCGTGAATACTATGACCTTCGACCCAACAAGGTATGATCGGAATTTATCCAATGCAAACACTACGGCTAGGAGTTCTTTTTCTGTCGTCGCATAGTTCATCTGAGCTTCATCCATTGTTCTACTGGCATAGTATATAGCGTATATTTTCCCTTCTTTCCTTTGCCCAAGAACAGCCCCGATAGCATAGTCACTCGCGTCGCACATAATCTCGAATGGAATGCTCCAATCAGGTGATCTCATAACTGGGGCAGTTGTCAAAGCTTCCTTTAACCTGTCAAAAGCATCAAAACAAGATTGATCAAATGCAAAGGGAACATCTTTTATAAGCAAGCGGGTTAAGGGTTTGGCAATCTTAGAAAAATCTTTAATGAAACGCCTATAGAACCCGACATGGCCTAGAAAGCTCCTAACCCCTTTTACATTAGTCGGTGGTGGCATCTTAGCAATGATATCAATTTTAGCTTTATCCACTTCAATACCCCGATTAGAAATTAAATGACCTAAAACAATTCCTTCTTGTACCATAAAATGGCATTTCTCCCAATTTAACACGAGGTTCATTTCTTCACATCTCTTTAAGACCTTAGCAAGGTTATGCAAACAGTCATCAAATGAAATGCCATAGACTGAAAAATCATCCATGAAGACCTCCATAATGCCCTCAATAAAATCAGAAAATATGGCCATCATGCATCTTTGAAAAGTGGCAGGGGCGTTACATAGGCCAAATGGCATTCTCCTATAAGCAAAAGTGCCATATGGACATGTAAATGTTGTCTTCTCTTGATCGCTAGGATGAATTGGGATTTGAAAGAATCCTGAATACCCATCTAGGTAACAGAAATAAGAATGCCTAGCCAGTCTTTCTAACATTTGATCGATAAAAGGGAGGGGAAAATGATCTTTTCTGGTAGCTTTATTCAGTTTTCGATAATTAATGCACATGCGCCAACCGGTGACTGTTCTAGTGGGTATTAGCTCATTTTTTTCATTTTTGACAACGGTCATACCTCCTTTTTTTGGTACTACTTGAACTGGGCTCACCCACTCGCTATCTGAGATAGGATAGATGATCCCCGCATCAAGTAGTTTCAGCACCTCTTTCCTAACGACTTCCTTCATGTTCGGGTTTAGCCTTCTTTGATGTTCAATGGAAGTTTTGTACCCTTCTTCTAGCAAAATTCGATGTATGCAAATGGATGGATTAATGCCTTTAATATCGTCTATGGAATAACCTATCGCATCCCTATGAAACCTTAGAACCTTAAGCAATTTCTCAACTTCCTGGTGACTTAAATCAGCATTAACAATTACAGGGTATTCACCATTGGTGTCCAAGAATTCATACCTGAGTGAGGAGGGGAGTGGTTTGAGTTCTACCTTAGGTGCAGTTTTTCTTTCACAAACCTGTTCTGGGTTGTTTCTGCTGCTGTCTGACACGGCCGTGTCCATGGACACGACCTGGACATTCAAATCTTTTTCGGTTTCGGTCACTGCATCAGGTCCTTTGCTGTAGGTGATTTTGGTGCAGGTTGGACTCCCATCAAGCATTGTAACATAGGAGGATACTTCCTGATCATCGTCAACTGGTGTCTCATTCTCTACTAAGCATTTCTCAAGTGAATCACTTGATATGCATTTAATAAAGTCTTCTCTAAGCACCATATCAATCGTATCAATCCTGCAGCAAGTATCATCAATTAGTGGAAACTTCATAGCAGAAAACAAATCAAAATTCACCTTTTCATCCCCTATATTGAGAGAGAGCTTTCCATTCTTCACATCGATTATCGCTCCAGCAGTAGCAAGGAAAGGCCTTCCCAATATAATGGGGATTTGAGAATCCTCATCAATTTCAAGAATAACAAAATCAACCGGGATGAAGAATTTACCAACCTGGATAGGTACATCCTCTAATATACCTACCGGACGTTTAACCGATCGATCCGCCAATTGGAGGGAGATAGTAGTGGGCTTCAAGTCTCCCATCTGCAACTTGTTACATATAGACAGTGGCATAAGACTGACACTAGCACCGAGATCACATAGAGCACGATTAATTGACATATCACCAATTGTGCAAGGAATTGAAAATGAGCCAGGATCTTTAAGCTTAGGTGGTAGCTTATTTTGTATGATGTCACTACACTCTTGGGTCAAGGCTACAGTCTCATATTCCTCTAACCGCCTCTTATTTGATAGAATCTCCTTTAAGAATTTGGCATAGGATGGCATTTGGGAGATGGCTTCAACAAATGGGATGTTAATATGCAATTTTTTAAGGATTTCTATGAATTTCCCAAACTGTTTCTCTAACTTAGCTTTAACTTGCCTTTGAGGGAAGGGTAGTGGAGGCTTATAAGGTGCAGGTGCTACATATCTCTCAACTTTCTCACTACTGTGCTCTTTCTCATTTGACACTAACCTCTCACTCTCATCAACCACATCCTTATGGTCATTCCTTATCATTGGTCCCTCTAACTCCTTTCCACTCCTAAGTGTGATGGCATTGATAGATCCCTTTGGGTTAGTTTCAGGTTGCCCAGGAAACATCCCGGAAGGTCTGGAAGAAGAGCTAGATTGTTGGGCCACTTGAGTGATCTGATTCTCTAACATTTTATTGTGGGTGGCTAAAGAGTCAACCTTGGAAGTTAGGTTCTTGATGGCATCGCTCATGATTCTATTCTGATTTCTAAATTCTTCATTTTGTTTATTCTGGGATGACACAAAATTCTCCATCAAGCTCTCTAAGTTAGACTTTTGGGGATTGGGGTAAGGGAGTCTCGGGGCCTGAAAACCTTGAGGTCGAAAATTTGAGTGAGGAATCGGGTTCAGGGGTGGATTTTTATAGGATAAATTAGGATGATTTCTCCACCCCGGGTTGTATGTATTGGAAAAAGGGTCCCCTTTCTGATTAAAATTATTTATATAATTAACATGTTCAGATAATGGTGCATCAGAGGAAGGGGAGTTTCCAATTTGACATTCCACAGCAGGATGTCCATTAATACCACATATTTCACAGTTAGTAGTAGAGTTAGATGCTACTGAATTCATGCTCATCTTATCAAATTTTTGAAATAAAGCATCTACTCTAGAAGCAATATGGTCTAATGCATCTACATCATACCTCCCGCTCTTTTTGGGTAAAGAGCGCTCACCTGACCACTGGAAATGATTCTGTGCCATATCCTCTATGAGTTGTTTTGCATCTCGTACACTTTTGTTCATCAATGCACCACCCGCTGCAGCATCCACGGTCATCCTTGTGTTGTAGAGAAGACCGTTGTAGAAAGTGTGAATTATGAGCCAATCCTCCAACCCGTGATGTGGACACATCCTTAGAAGATCCTTGTACCTCTCCCATGCATCATACAATGACTCCCCTTCTTTTTGAGTGAAGGTTGTTATCTGATTTCTCAATTGGGCTGTTTTGCTCGGAGGGAAGTACTTAGCAAGGAACGCTTCTGAGAGTTGGTCCCATGTAGTGATGGAGCCCGGTGGAAGTGATTGCAGCCAAGCCCTTGCCTTGTCTCTTAGTGAGAAGGGAAACAACCTTAGCTTGATTGCATCATCCGACACTCCATTCATCTTCAATGTGTCACAATACTCCAGAAAGATTGAGATGTGGAGGTTTGGGTCTTCGGTTGGAGTGCCTCCAAATTGGTTTTTCTGAACCATGGAGAGGAGTGAAGGCTTGAGTTCAAAATTGTTGGCAACAACATTAGGCTTCAAGATGCTAGATTGGGAGCTATGGGTGGTTGGTGATGCAAACTCCTTCAAGGATCGGTCTTGATT